GAGAAATGAAGGAAGAAGACTAGATAGAAAACCAATTGGAGTGGTAGAGAGTGTGGCCAACTAGAGGATACAGGGGTTGCTTTTAATTGTTAACAATAAATGTGAGCACGTCAAATTCTAATCCCTGAGAACCCAGGGTTCATTTTCAGTTAAAGAAGCCCAGCCTAGGGCATTGAGAAACTGTTTGGTTCTTTTCAGTCTATGACTCCGTCCAGTTTTCGTTTCCGTGCCATTGACTTAGAAAGACAAAGCTAGCAGATGCATTTGCTCCTTGAGAAATCAGCCGCATTAAACTGAGCGATGGTGGGGCAGCCACGCTGTCATTATCCGGAGGCCTGGTCATCAGTTAGCAAGCTAATAAGGACGAGCAGCCTGTCAGTGACCGTGGTCCGGCTCAGTCATACAGTTCCTGGGTGATTACATAAGCGGGAATGCATGTGGCTAATGAAAGCTGCAAAATCATCCAAATGAGCCCGCGACGGAGGGCTTTGCTGGGTAGCGGCCTGGCACGGAGAAGCTTAGAGTTTGCAGATGGCAGCTCCCACCTCCAGCAGGCAAGCGCATCGAGGCATGATTCCAGTGGATCTCTTCTGTTTATGATTTATTTAATTTATTTGAAAAGTAAGATGAGAGACAGAGGGGGAGAAACAGAGACACAAAAAAGATCTTCCATCTTCTGTTTCGCTCCCCAAATGACCAGACACCCAGATCTTGGCCAGGCCAAAGCCAGGAGCCAGGAACTCCATCTGGTTCCTCCACATGGTTGGCAGGGACCATTCGAAGCATCTTCTACTACTTTCCCAGGCACATCAGCAGGAAGCTGGATCAAAAGCAAAGTACTGGCTTGAACCAGATCCCTGAGATGCTGGCATCGGAAATGATGGCTTAACCCTCTGCACCACAAGGCCGTCCCTGGGTGGTACTCTGAGAAGTGACAGGTCGGCCTTGGGGATGTTGGCCCTCCCTTACAGTTCCAGCTGAGGCTCTTGAAATGTCACTGAAGGCCCAGAAGTGTCTTTCTGAGAAGTCGTGGGCTGAGAGGAAAGCAGTAAGGGACCCCGAGCCATGGGTAGAAGCTGCTTTGGCTCCAAGAGATGTAGACAGGTTGTTCTGGGGTGAACAGCTCCTGGCAATGGTATCCATGGGGGAAAGGGCAGGGAGTGTTTGAAGGGGCAGAGAGAAAGGGACGAGGCAGGGGATCCTCAGTGCCTTGCACTGACCAGTGTTCACAGTGCCTTTCTGGTCTGCCTTGGCTGAAGGCGATGAAGTGCAAAGTTGGAAAGTGACCTTCCACTTGATCTGCCGGAGGCCCTCCCAGCTATGAGTTCCACCTGAGTTCCACCCCATGGACATGGCCGTCCTGTGGACATGCATGCAGCATGCAAGAAATCCAGCTCTCAGATTTGCAGCTCCTACTCATTTACAAGTACTTGAGGGAGTGCCTCATGTAGCGCCCCTGGAGAAAGAAAGCCAAAGCCAGCTGGGTTGTTGCTTCCCCAGTGGTCGGCTGGAGAGGCAAAGAAGAGGAAGTACCCAGGACTCACTGTTCCTGTTCTGCAGGTGCATGGAAGATCTTGGCCTACAAGGGGCAACAAATGAAGTAGATGACCCTGGTTCAGACCCTGAGAAGCAGTGAGGGCTGCTACCCCGAGCTCCAGGTGACTGGGCATACAGAAGGAGTACAAGCAGAGTTGCCAGATTTTTGTGCGTGCAACTAGTTTTTTAGAAAACAGAGCCGGCGCCGTGGCTCAATAGGCTAATCCTCCACCTTGCGGCGCCGGCACACCGGGTTCTAGTCCCGGTCGGGGCGCCAAATTCTGTCCCGGTTGCCCCTCTTCCAGGCCAGCTCTCTGCTATGGCCAGGGAGTGCAGTGGAGGATGGCCCAGGTGCTTGGGCCCTGCACCCCATGGGAGACCAGGAAAAGCACCTGGATCCTGGCTCCTGCCAACGGATCAGCGCGGTGCGCCGGCTGCAGCGGCGGCCATTGGAGGGTGAACCAACGGCAAAGGAAGACCTTTCTCTCTGTCTCTCTCTCTCACTGTCCACTCTGCCTGTAAAAAAAAAAAAAAAAAAAAGAAAACAGGTTGTAGATGGAATAAAACATTTCTGCACTGCTTACCTGTTCCCAGACCACCATTCAGCTCCATACTCTAACCAAGCATGCCAATAGGGCTACAGTTGCATTCAGTGACAAAAAACAGGTTCACTGGCCTAATATGGAAGAGTTTATTACCTTTCCACACGGGCTGGTGGAGTGGGGAATGGGAGGTGTATGCTGCTGGAGGGCTCTGAGCACCTTGGAAACACAGGGACGTGGGAAAAGGAGCCCTCGCATCAACAGTCGCTTGGCACAGGACTACAGTATGTGCCCAATTATGTGTTAGCCCTCAAAGCTTCAGCTGACATGCATCATTACATATGCCACGGGTCTGAACAGAACTTATGGCCACTTTCAATTCCAATGGGGGCAGTAAGAGACTTGAAAAGACAATTGAAATGTGGAAGAACTGGGGCTGGCATTGTGGCGCAGCAGATTAAACTACTGCTTGTGACACCGGCATCCCATATGGGAACCCCAGTACAAGCTCCAGCTGCTCCACCTCTGATCCAGCTTCCTGTTAATGCACCTTGGAAGGCGGCAGATGATAGCCCAAGTATTTGACCCCTGTCACCCACGTGGGAGACACGGATGGAGGCTTCAGCCTGGCCCATCCCTAGCCATTGCAGCCATTTGGGGAGTGAACCAGAGGATGGAAGACCTCTCTCTCTCTCTCTCTCTGTCTTTCTCTCTCTCTCTCTGTCACTCTGCTTTTAAAATAAATAGAATCTTTCAAAGAAAATAAATATGAAAGAATTAGAATATGAGTTAAAGAAATTCTTTTTTTTCCCAAAGGTCCTAATGCTTTTAAATTGGATCCATTGATCTTCTTTTTAAAAAGATTTTATTTATTTATTTGAAAGGTAGTGTTACAGAGAGAGGGAGAGTCAGACAGAAAGATCTTCCAACTACTGGTTCACTCCCCAAAAGGCTGCAATGGCCAGAGCTGGGCCAATCTGAAGCCAGCAGCTTCTTTCAGGTCTCCTAGGTGGGCGCAGGGGCCCAATCACTTGGGCCATCTTCCACTGTTTTCCCAGGTGCATTAGCAGGGAGCTGGATCATAAGAGGAGCAGCCAGGACATGAACCATTGCTCATATGGGATGCCAGCACTGCAGGCAGTGGCTTAGCCCACTACACCACAGCACCAGCCCCCATTTGCTCTTAAAATGTTACTGCGTGGGATCTTAAATGGCAGCATCTAAGAGGTAGCATCATGGTTGAGGGCCAAGGGTACTGCAAAGTCACTCTCCCCTTCTCTTTTCTACTTTAAAGCCACCAGTGAGGCTGAGATGATAAAGACAAGGAGCACAGACTACACGTAGGGGAAATCAGAAACCCTGTTGGTGACCATCCTGTCTGCCCAGTTCTTCCTGCAAGATCCGGTTCGGTCTACTTACCCCAAAGCCCCACCTGCCAATAAGACAGCAAGTCCTCCCTGAAATGAGCTTTACTTTCCTGAGTACTTTTCCGAGCTATTTCTACACAAACGTGTGCATGCCCAAGCTGCCTACGAGCCCAGAGAATTGCCCCTTGTGACGCCCCTCCTTATACAGGCTCCAATTAGACACCACTTAATGGCACCTCCAATTTGACTGTCTGTCCCAGATTCCGCCGTGCATGGGAATTCTCCCAGAGATTATTCCTGTTCTTCCCATCCTCAAAACAAGGAGGGGGGAATAATGTGTGATTGAAAACGAGCCACCAAATGGTAAAAAAAAAAAAAATAAATTTGCAGTTGTGTTGCTTTGAAAACTTATTGCACAGCTGGGGGCATTTAAAGAACTTAATTAACAAGCTTTGGCCTCGATGTACTCCTCTTTGGGAGGGGGAAAAAAATCACAGTTAAGATTTGTCCAATTAAATTATAGAAGAGTTGGTGGATTCAAAAGGAGAGAGAGAGAGGGGCTGGGGGACCCACTTCTAATTTAAAAAGAAGATTTTTAGTTGATGTAGCCTGATTAATTCAGTGTTAAGCTTTTCTGCACGGTTTCCACAAACTCATAGGCACTTCAGCATTTTTAACACGAATGTAATTATAGGTTTTAATAATCAGACTTTGGTTAAACAAAGTCCCCTCTTTCCCACAAAAACTGAGGAGAGAATATTCCACTGTCAAGGAGCGCCCTTCACCCCCACTTTTTCCTGTTGCCAGGGGGGACTCCACCTGGGCTCTGAGTCAGGGCCCCTTCATGACTTCAGTGTGTCCCTGGCACTTAGGCCTCCATGGGCCCCTCCCTGCTTCCGCAAAAATATATTAAAGATTTCTAACTTACGATAGCACTGGCATCAAGACGATTACAATCCTGGCCAGGCTCATTCCTATGATATTCCACTTATTTCCTTCAGGTTTAAAAAAGAAACTTTGAGCATTCTCATGGACCCTAAAAGCAGTCAGAGACAACACCGCCTAAGCTGGCCCTGCCCAGAATTGCCCATGGCGAAACCCAAAGACAGATATTAGGTCAGCTAAGAACAGGTTCAAAATAGTCACGTTGATGCCACAATTCACAGCAATGCAATTCATATCAGCCTACACTAAGTGCCAGTCTTTAATGCAGGGAAACTTCTAGGCCCCCAGCCCTTGCCCTTCCATACCAAAAAAACCAAAAATGTTATTCTGACATCATTGGTCTGAAAGAATACCCAGTACAGTAGGCACTCTCTTGGAATGACGAGTTTTCTGTCTTTTCCTAGAGGGATGCTCAGCCCAAGACAAAAATGCGTTAAGGACAGCAGAGAAAATTCATTTGTATAAGCTGGCCCCCCTACTGTGGAATTTTCAATTATATATATCTAATTATGGCTGTCAGTTGATGGATTCAGAAAAGACATTTTGGTCCCCCCTCCTTTTTTTTGTCTTTTCGTCATCTCTTCTGTTAGAATGATTATAGCACACTTACACAACTAATTGCCTTACTGCTGATTAGTGATACAATTATGCAGACCCGGCTCCTTGTGTGAACAACCATCTGCAGAGAAAAAAAAAAAGTGACACTATTCAAAAACTATCCATAATTTAACCAATGTTATTCCAATGCACTGAGCCCAGACAATCGTCTCGCCTTCATATTTCATACCCACCCTGGCAAGAGGAGGTTGGGTTTTGTGTGCCCAATTCACCTCTTTAGACACACTGTGAATCAGAAAGAAAGAGGGGAGAAGAAAGTGCTTCAAATGTCAACCCATAGTGGGGAATTGAAGCGTGGTTAACGTCCATTCCTCCTTTGGGTAATTTTTCTTCAAATTTTATACCACTTGGCAATTTTTTGTTTCCTTTCAAACTGCTGAGAAAGTGCAGATGTTTCAACTCCCCAAAGTGGGCTTGGGTTTGCTGCTTTTTTGTGGCCTGCTCTCCCCAATCCCTTTCTCTCTTTTTCCCCCCATAATGTTTCAGAAAAAAAAAAAGAAAGAAAAGAAAGAGAGAGAGAGAGAGAGAGAAGAAAGGGTTTTAATAGAATGGAAAGACGTGGCTGACATATGACATTTCAATAAAGTGTGTCTTTTGTTCTCTAAGGCAAAGTGTACGGGACACCAAACTCTGAGACCTTAGGGGCCACGGGGAGGGAACAGGTGGACAAGGCAGGATGCTGTTTGCCCCATGGCATAAACAAAGAAAGCAGCCTGAGTGTTCCCGACATGCAAGGCAAGTGCAGCCCTGTCTGTATGGAGAAAAGAAAGAGCCAGAGAGAGGCAGGAAGGCTCACGGTCACGAAGTGAGGTGCCCAATTGTCCCCTAGTTTCAAACTAAAATGAAGGCTGTCGGGGCACCGAGGTCTGAGGAAGGCAAGTTCTTCTCAACTGAGAGATTTGTTTGCATAGAGCAATTTCCTAGCGCTGAGGAGGACACTGGTCTTAGAACGAGACCTTTAGGAAGAATTCCTAGAGAATTCGGATGCTCGTGATGCACCTCTCTCCAGGGAAAGACTGGGACCCGGTGGCGAGAGCGTCTTAGGGAGAAGCTGTGTCTCAGCTCCTAGCCAGGCGGGCGCCTGGCTTCACTCACAGGGCCGCCCCGGAGCACTGCCTTGCGGAGCCCGAGGGCCACCCTCGCTGTCACCCGCCTTGGAAGTCGGCCTGTCCTTGCTCGGACACTCGAGCCTGTGAAGTCTCCTGTTCTCAGGGTGCTGTAGAAAGCCACAGCAGGGCAGTCAGAGTTGTTGTGTTTTGAGTTATGTCTTCTTTTTAAAATATTTATTTGAGAGGCAAAGAGAGACAGACGCAGAGAAAGAGCACTTCTGTCTTCTGGTTCACTCCCCAGATGCCAGCAGCAGCCAGAGCTGGGCCAGGCTAAAGCTCGGAGCCTGAGACTCTGTCCTGGCCTCCCACGTGGGTGGGAGAATCTAACAACTCGCACCATCACCAGTGCCTCCCAGGGTCTGCATCGGCAGGAAACGGGAGCCAGGACGGAAAATTGGCTACTGCATTCTACTGTGGGCGTCTCAACTACTAGATCAAATGCCCAGTCCTGGTGTTTTTGGTTTTTAGTTCTAAGTTTTGGGTTTTGGTTTTTTTTTTTTTTTTAGCAAAAATGTGGATCTTCTCGTCCCTCTGAACTCTTCAAAAACAGTAACTGAAGTTTGTCACAGTGATCTCAGTATGGACTCTGCTTTTTTTAAATATTTATTTATTTATTTGAAAGTCAAAATTATAGAGAGAGTGAGGGAGAGACAGAGCGAGACTGAGACTGCTTCACTCCCCAAAAGGACTGTGCCAGGTTAAAGCCAGAAGCCAGGAGCTTCTTTCAGCTCTCCCACACGGGTGCAGAGGCCCAGACACTTGGGCTGTCTTCTGCTGCTTTCCCAGGCCATTAGCGGGCAGCTGGATCAGAAGTGGAGCAGCGGGGACACAAACTGGTGCCCTCATGGGGTGCCGGTGTCACAGGCAGCAGCTTTATGTGCTATGCCACAACACTGGCCCCTGGACTCTGATTTATAAAAGGTAAGCTTATGTTCAGCTAGCTTTGTGTTGTTGAGCATTTTGTGATAATAAAACTAATAATCGTAGTAAGTATTTCTTGAGAGCTGACAGTGTGCTGGGCTCTTGTGTGTGTGTGTGTGTGTGCTTTATGTTAGTGACTTCATTTTAATCTTCTCACACCCACCAAGGAAGGTCCAATGATGATCCCATTATGTGGAGAGGAACCCTTCAGATTCATGAGTTAACTGAAGCCAGGACATGTAGCCGACTGTGGGTAATAAGTCTGAACTGAAGCCTAGAACTCCCCACAGCCACGGATCTTAACCGCCAGCCAACACCTCCTCCATGTCTTAGAGAGTTTCCGACAGAGAGGACTTGGTCACTCTGTTAGCTGGAATATTCATGGAATGACTGATGGAAGGAAGAAGAGAGGGAGGGCAGGAAGAAGCAAGGAAGGAGCAAGCTGCTGCCTTGGAAGAGATGCACCAGACCCGGCATCTTCCTGGTCACTGCTCTCCCCTCATGGCTGAACGACTTCGGGCAGGTTGCCAGGCACTGCCAGGTATCTTCGCTATAACAAGAGTCATCTGGGGAAAGATGACTTTCTTCTTCCGAAGGAGCTCTCCCAGCCCCTCTAGCCGATCCTTGCCCGGCACAGACCTCTCCTCTGGTCCCCATTGGCAGCAATTCCTCCCTTCTTCTCTTTCTTCTCCTCCTCCTCCTCCTCTCCCTCTTCCTCTGCTTCTTTTTTTTTTACAGGCAGAGTAGACAGTAAGAAAGAGAGACAGAGAGAAAGGTCTTCCTTTGCCGTTGGTTCACCCTCCAATGGCCGCAGCAGCCGGCTGGCTGCGGCCGGCGCACCGCGCTGATCGGAAGGCAGGAGCCAGGTGCTTCTCCTGGTCTCCCATGGGGTGCAGGGCCCAAGCACTTGGGCCATCCTCCACTGCACTCCCGGGCCACAGCAGAGAGCTGGCCTGGAAGAGGGGCAACCGGGACAGAATCCGGCGCCCTGACCAGAACTAGAACCCGGGGTGCCGGCGCCACAAGGCGGAGGATTAGCCTAGTTAGCCGCGGCGCCGGCTCTCTTCCTCTCCTTCTACTCCTTCCTTATTTTCCCTGTAAGGGTAAGCTCAGCACCTGTTTTGGGCTCAGTACAAAGTTGGTTCCACTCTTTCTAAGTGTTCCACCAAAAGGCTTAAGTTCAGTTAGTAAGTCCAACTGGAATGAATACTTACCTTGTTGATTAATCAGAGGCAAACTTTCTACAGTTAATTTTCTTTGTGATCATTCTACACAAAGGTAAGTCAAGTCCTTTGTTGGGGATGAAGATGAAGTCTTCTGGGAGTGGCAACTCACAGGCAGAGGACTATCTTAAATACAATCCTTTCCCTGTGCCTCACTTCTAGCAAAGGGGAGAGGGTCCTTGATGGTGCAGTGTGCGTACTAGATTGGGACGGAGGTGATTTTCACCTGGGGGAATTTCGAGGCATGCAGCCCATTAAATCTAAGAAATCAGAGCTCCGCCAAGAGCTTAGATTTAGCCCAATGGGCACAGTTGGATGACTGAGAAACCAGGCAGAACCCTCAAGGTTGAAAATCAAATGCCAAGACCCTGCAGCTAAATCAAGCCATTGCATATCACAGCAAATTTAGTCTTGTTGGCAAAACCATTGAATCGTCAGCTTGGAGCCTTTACACTAAGAAGAATCAGGAAGATGGGCAGGCACCGTGGCCTAGTAGGCTAAGCCTCCACCTGCGGTGCCAGCATCCCATATGAGCGCCAATTCGAGTCCTGGCTGCTCCACTTCCTATCCAGCTCTCTGCTAATGTGCCTGGGAAAGCAGCAGAAGGTGGCCCAAATGCTTGGACCCCTGCACCTGTGTGGGAGACCCAGAAAAATCAGTAAGACATTTCCAAGCCCAGACCCCAGTTTCTCTTTTTCTTCACCTGGATTCCGGCCCCAGGACAGCCCAATTTGTCTGAGACTTTCCTGATGCTCACGTGGTAAATCAGTTTGCTCAGTGGGTCTCTGAAAGACACTCTGGTATCTCTAGGTACTGGACATGGGGAAATGTGAAGACAAGCATTTGGAAGTGAAAGGTGTCGTTGAGACAACTGAAGTCCTCTCTTGGAGTAAGCATTAAAGCCCAGCAGGTTAAGCCACCTGCAACACCAGCATGCAATACCGGCTGTTCCACTTCCCCTCCCACCCATGTGGAAGACTTGGATGGAGTTCTAGGCTCTGGCTTGGGCCTGTTCCAGCCCTAGCCATTGTGGCCATTTGGGAAGTGCACCAGTGGATGGAAGATTCTCTCTCTCTCTCTCTCTTTCTCTCTCTCTTTGTCTGTCTCTCTCTTTCTGTCTGTCTCTCCCTCTCTATGTGTAATTCTGCCTTTCAAATGAATAAATAAATTTTTATTTTTGAAAAAAAATCTATTAAGAAGGATTAGCCTTCTTAAATTTTCAGTTTTTTGGTTTTTCTCTTCTCTTATATCCCAGGTTCAAACTAAAGAATTGGAAGTCAAACTAAAGAATTGGTGACCCTCATGTTCTTCTTCTAATTTGACAGTGTATCTGTTAGCAAACATTAAGTCAACCCTTTGATCCATCCATCAAACCAGGCACCAACTACCCAACTATCCATTTAACCATCAATCCTTCCCCATCTCCCCACTTATCCATCTATCCATCCAACATCAAATATGATACACCAAACATTAGTGTAGGCAGCATTTTTTTAAAAATGAATAGAAATTTATAAATAAGCAAGTCATACTGACTATTAAATGATATGATGGATATGTTCATAATACTAAAATAATGCAAATAAGATTTATTGAACATTTACTAAGTTTCCAGTCCCACACGAAGCCTTTTGCATACTTTCTCGCACTTAAACCTCATAGTGATCCTATGAGCTGGGTGCTAGAGTTTTCCTCATTTTGCACACAAAGGAACTTAATCCTCCTCACATATCTGTGAGGAGGTGGAGTCACTCCTTGTGAGAAGCTGGTCGTCTGTCTCCAGTGCCTACGCTGTTAACCAGCAAACTGCCTCCTTATTAGATGGAACCACTGATAAAGGCATGACTCCAAGAGGATTTCCAAAGTTCTCCCAGAGATGATGACATTTATGTTGGGCCTTAAAGGATTGTAGGAGATCAGAGAGAGAAGGGAAAAAGCATTGCACGCAGCTGGAAGACTGAATGCAAACACTCATGTTGAGAGTGGAGTGAGCCGTTGATTGTGACTAAGCACAGGGTGTGTGGAGATGGAACATGGGACAATAATAACGGTAATAACACCGCCTGCAGCAGGCCACCTACTCAACTGCCTACGCTGGCTACACATGTACCGCTCCTGCAATGATTCTGACAACCCCCATCATCCTCACTGGAGAAACCTGGGCTCAGAGACTATACCTCAGTTCCCCATCTAGTGGGAATAGTAATTCTCTTATTCATCTCACGTGCACGTTCTCCAAGGACCCAGTGGGATGATGTGTGTGAATCACAAAGCATAATACCTAGGACTGTACTTGATAAGGATTTACCACTATTGTGACTTGCTAAATTGGGACCCATTTGCCGGAGTGCTGTTTGAAGCAAGAGAAATAAGTGCAGGTGAGTGAGGACAAGAATTCTGTGTGTCAGGATCAGGAAGTTGACTGTCACTACCAACTGGTCCTAGCCCAGGCTCAGGAGTGGAAAGGGGACAGTTTTAACCAAAGGCTTTGTCAGCTCAAAGAAGCCGTAAGAACCTCTAATGATTCTGAAACAACTGGCAGCCTGCTCTTACACCCCCCAGTGAAGAGCTCTGGGGCACTTTGACCTTGGCCCAGGGATGATGTGATGTGCCTCCCTGTGCCAGGCCTCATCCTCACCCAGAGGAACATTACCTTATGAGGAAGCCCATGCTGCCTGGCTTCTGGCTTCTGGGTTGATCCCAAGGCTTCACGTTCTGAATCAAAACTGATTCCATCTCGCCCAAGTCTCCCAACTTCCAGATGGAGGCCCAGTGTTCTGGAGCCACTGTGAGCCCTTCTCTCTCAACTGCGCTGGGCACAAAGACAGTGCAAGTCTCTCCTCGCTCCCTCCACGGGAGGGTGTCTATTAAAATGCAGCGCGTATCCTAACCAGCACCCCCTGCTGTTCTAATCATGGTTCCCAAAGTTCTGTACAAAGGCAGCCAGACAGAACTTGATGAGTTCATAAAGAGGGTACTTGTCTCTTGCAACAAGTGAGGAAAAGCGCTGCATGCGCTTAGCAACACCGCCTCCCTGGGGTCCAGGCTGCCATGATGGCCCTGTAGGGAAGATATGCCGGAAGGAAGGATTCAGGTTCCTCCAGGAGCAACCCGGAGATGGGGATTCAAATGCAGATCACTGACAGGGCCAGGGAGAGAGGCCTGATGTCTGCGTAGAGGAGCAGGGCAGTGAGTTGGGGAAGGGGAAGTAGCCAATGAAAGGCCGGCTACCACTGTGGGCAACTGGAGCTCAATCCCCCAGGGGAACTGGGAGGCCTGGTGCAGAGCAGAACAGCCCCACCCTGGCTGGGAGGGAGCTCGAGTGTTTATGCTTTCACTCCACATTGTTTGAGACCAGCGTCTGGAGGCTGTTAAGGCCCCAGTACTTTGGGCCTACCTCTTGGGCCCAGTGGCTTTCTGAAGTATTGGATAAAGCTCTCAAGTACAGAGAGGTAGCCAAGGTCAATGGCAGGCAGCTGGGGCAAGCTCAAGGAGAAGATCCTGGGGAAGGGATGCGTCCTGCAGACCCTGTCCCAGGAACACCATGCTTCCTCCTCACCTCCAGAGATCTACACCCATCACTCATCCAGGGGAGAGTCGTTGAGAAGCCTCAAAATAGTCACAAAACTCCTAAGAGCTTATGATTAACTGTGATTGTCTGTTCATATCAGAGCCCATGTACTCATGGGTATGAAGTTAAACTACAATGAGGAAATAGTAATAAATTTCATTGATATTATTTAGAGCTAATGAGGGAACAAAAGGTGACAACTACCCCTACGACTTAAACATTCTCTTTCACAAAAGTTAAACACAAATACACACGCACGTAGACAAGACATATGAAGGAGGATGTGAAATGTGGCTTTGTTTGTAACACACAACAAATTGGAGCCAGACCAAAAGCCCATCAGTAGCATAATGGTGAACTCAAGGCTTTGATTCCTCCAAGTATCACCAAGAATGGTAAAGACCTGCATATAAGAAAATATCAACCAGTGGATGGAAGACCTTTCTCTCTTTCTCTCTCTCTGTAACTCTACCTCTCAAATAAATAAATAAACAATCTTAAAAAAAAAAAAAGGAAAAGAAAGTACCTACAAAAATTCAGGAAAAAATATAATTAAAAGATAGGCTTATTTTGAAGCAATAATATTTTGAAATCCATGCATAATTTTTCATAACTCATGTGTTTAGTGAACTTTTTGAAGACCCTTCAAATGCACGGATTCCATTTTTTTACATCAAATAAGCTTCTTTTAAAAATTCCATTTCCATGAGTTTTTTGAAGTGCGCTTGCATGAACATCGGAAAAATTTAAGATATAAATGAAGCAATTTTGCCACAGAATACAATGGTGATTCCCAGATATGTAGAAGTGCATCCATAGAAATGTATTACTTATCATACACAATATCTATATATGTATAGATGTGTACTCAAAAGCACCAAAATGGAATAAGGATTATTCATGGGCAGGGAATAGGAAATGGTTTGAGGGGCGTTTCTCTTTTTAATCAATTTTCTCTGAACATGTATTCATAGATTATTTGTGTCATTAAAAGCATGAGTGACAGCTGACATCTTTTCACTAATCCACAAAACTGTTTTAAAAGGCAGTCAAAGCCAAAAGAACAACTAGAATTTCATAGCTGTCTAGGTCGTTTAACGTAGAGGAAATGATATTCAGCCGGTCTCCTGAGAATATCACTATCACGGACCACGAAGCTACGGTGGTACTCACCCTCCTCCTAGCTCAAGGAAACACTGGAGAATTGGCAGGGTTTCTGTTTGAAAGGTAGGAAATGACATGATGTTAATTAGGAAAAAAAAAAAGTCCCCCCAAAATACGCAAAAGCACAGCACCGAAGGGCTTGATAGGAAATGGAGCACGGTGGAGTTAGTTATGAAATGCCCTCGTGCAGACTCCGCATTCGTCCAACGATGCCAGGTATGCGGGGGTTACACGCGGGGCTGCGCTAACCAGAACCTGCTGGCGAATGTTTAACAACCGGCTAGAAGGGCGGGGCTCGCAGCGTGTCTGAGTTCCACGGGGCAAATGTTCTCTCCCTCCGTGGTTGCTTCCAAGTGGCCCGTGGAGCGCTGTGAGCGTGGCTTTGGGAAGGGACGCTCAGCCGCAGCGCGCTGTCCCACTGGCTTTCCTCCACGCAGGCGCCGTCAAAGTAGACAAGTTCAAGGGCAGATCTCCCCAGGACGGAGTGGTCAAACCATCTGGGAAGTGGCGTGTGCAGCGCGGTCACCTTTCACACCCTTCGCTTAATTGTCAGTTTTTTCTACAGTGTCAATTTCAATCATGGCCGTGTTTAAAAACCGGTTTGCTGAATTCCTGCCATTTTGACCGGCAGCCGTCTTGAGCTGGTCCCGGCCGGCTCCAGCTCAGCGGGGACTGCTGCAGCTCAGAGATTTCTATCTGGAACATTTCCACAGAGGATACTTCAAGGAAGGGGCCAAGTAGATGCTAATCAGAATTATAGAAAACACCGTGTTTGGCTCTAGGAATATAAACAGACAGCTTGTGTTTTCGCCAGCAGCCTGACAAGTTTTGGTGGAGAGCAATGGTCCCTAATTCCCCTAAGCAACTTGTCTCAGCAGAAAAGATAGTGATGAATATAAATTTCCCTTGTGGTGGGCAGAAGATTTGAGCCTGGGTCCTGATGGTGGAAGGGAAGTCGCGCTATGCCGAAGCCTACAGCGTCCGGCCTCAAGATGTTTCTGGGGCTGGGATCTTCTCTCTGCAGCCCGCAGAAGGGAACTGCTCTGTTTAAGAATGCAGCAGAATATCTTTTTCCATTGAGTCCGTTTTTCCAGAATCAGGAAGAGCACCTTCCTAACAAACACTGTGTTCATTATTTTTACAGCTCTATGATCAGGACACTGATCCAAGCATTTTTTTTTTTTCAAATGGGGTTATATTCGCTGCTATCTAAAAAATGGAGAGATTTCTCAAACAACCAAATCTAATAACACATATTGTGTTTCCTCCTCCGTAAAACGGAAGTGGGTGCGGCTGGACCACCAAATCACTACGGATCATTTTGAGTCTGGGGGTAGGTGGATTTTTTTGTTTGTTTGTTCCACGCATGCAGTTAGAACATAACTGATTGCGAGGGAGGAGAGAGTGCAGGAAGGGGAAAGAGCGAGACCCTCCCCACCCCCCCAGCACCTGGGGCATTCTCCGTGTCTGATAAATGCCAGGTTTGCTGCTAAAGTGAGATTGATAAATACTAACTAAATCACAGCCACCCTTTGGGGCTCCATTCATTTCTTTTTCCACCCCCAGAAAGGAGCACAAAACATGGAAGTCAAGTCAGGCATGACCAGACCTGAAGAATTTGACTCTTCCATCCTGCTGCTAACAGAATTCCTCGTGATTTGGGGCAGGCTGCTGGGGGGAGGCTTCGGGGGAGGGGGCTGTCGGGACAGGAGGGGTGGTGGGGGTGGGGGTGGGAAGCCATGCTTCATCTGGTGAGGCTTGGGGAAAGAAGGAGCCTTGCGCAGGCCAGCTCGGCTCAGTCTTTCATGAATAAACACTCTAATTGGGGACATCACAGATAATGGGTCTGACTTCTTTCACTGGAGGGCCGATCATGATTTGCTAATTGGATATTCCTGGGGTGGTAGAAGCGCCCTCACTGGCCCTGAGTGATTACTAGTTAATGGGGTTTTGGAAGTTCCTATTCCACACTGATAAAGGGAGCCATGCTAAGGGGAAGGAGCCTGTCCCCCAGCTTGGAGGGACTTGGGCAAGGAAGCCCAAAATCTGGAGAAGCCCCAGGAGCCAGGGGCTCTCCAGGTCCAGGGACAGCTTTTGGAGCCAGATGCCCACCTCCATCAGTAGCACAGTGCTGACCTCCCTTTTCTTGCTGGGGTATTTGATTTTGCAGCGAAGGGACTGTCCCCACCAACCTCCTTGGAGACCAGGCTTTGAACTCATTTCTTTGCATAGCAAGAACAGTCACAAGTACACAGAAGGCTGGGCTCAGGGGGTGGCATGTCATCAGGGAGTGCTCTTCACACAAAAGGCAGAGAAAGTCACCTTGGGGTCTCTGGAGTTGAGTTGGAGCAAAGGGGATGCCGCCATTGTTCAAGCATGGTGTGGAAGGGGCAGTCTTGCCTAGTGGTGAAAACACTGGAAGACAGCACAGCCTATACTGCAGTAACCTGAATTCAATGCCCTGCCCCTGCTCCTGACTCTACCTTCTTGCTAATGTGGATACTGGGAGGCAGTGGTGATGGCTCAAGTAGTTGGGTTCCTGCCACCTACTTAGAATACTTGAATTGAGTTCCTGGATCCTGCCTTTGATCTTTCCCAGCCCCAGCCATTGTGGAGATGTAGAGAGTGAACCAATGAGTAGGAACCTGCTCACTCGCTTGCTCTCTCTTTCTCCCACCCCACTGTATAAGATAATCTATATAAATACATGGATGAAAGCTGTTTACAAACAGCAAGATGGCATGATGATAAGGGAGCAGCTTCTTCAAATCCTCCTCAGGGGGCTGGTGGCACCCACAAGAGGAGCCACAGAGAAAGAATAAAAGGTGGACTGATGTTTCACAGGCCACTCTCTGGCCAATCCTCTTCCTTGGGTTCTGGGACACAATGAGAGCTTTTGGCCTGTCCTACATTGAGAGTTTCCCAACAGAAAACTGTTGGGAGATGGGACAGGCAGAGGAATTGGGGAAAAAGAACAGAAAGAGAGAGAGAGAGAGAGAGGAGAGGGAGAAGACAAGAGGTCTTTTTATACCGAAAATCAAATGACTTCCTTTTTCTGTAAGAGAGCAAGACTTCTTTCTTGGGTAGTCAAAGATCTACAGGCTTCTCCGACAAAGCACGCACAGGGGCTGCACTCACTCAATCCCTGGTCATTTGTCTTGTTTCTAAGTGACTGGGCTCTGTCCCTGGACCCAGCCTGTCTTAGCAACGTGTGATGTCACTCACATACAGGAGACTTGGGGTGCCTTGCAGGAAGAGGGGCCAGCCCAGCTCATCAAACACTGAAGAAGCCCTGGATATCACTGCTGCTGCCGCCAGTTCCCAGAATGTCCTCCACACACAGACAGATAAGAGCTGAGGTCATGAAACTAATTTGCATCTCAAAAAGATCTACATTTTCCTTTTAGGTGCTAGACACCGTGCTTTGGACTTTGCCTATAGTCCTCATTTCCATCTTGCCCAGAGCCTGATGCAGTAAGATCTATGATTCTCTCTGTGTGACAGGTGATCTGTTGGAGATCCTACCCGAGTGACAAGCAGACTTGGAACTTGACCTCACATTCATTTGACTCCAAAACCCTTGTTTTTACTGAGTATATTTTCCTTGAATGTTTTTCTGATTAACTGATTTTCCCTGAAGACAATGGACCAGGTGGTTGACGGCCTGGACTCACCATGCAGAAGAGCAAAGAATCAGATTTCATTTTGGGGGAAATGGTAAGAATGTGTTTCCAAGAAAAGATGCATTCTGGGCTTGGGTACAGAAGAGGGAAATTTGCTCCTGTGTGTTCTTATCGGCCATCGTTAAGACTTGCACCCTCTGCTCACTTCCCAGAACCCTGAAATGACCACGTTTATCATCCAGGAAGGCTTGCTGATGACCCTGGAGAAATTGCTTAAACTCACAAAAACTGATTTTTCAAATGCATAAAATGACCAATAGGAATAGAGTTTTTCAAAGCTCATTCCCATCTCCACATGGATGCATCAAGAATTCTACTCAGGAGTTTGCCTTCACCATTGAACCAGTTCTCTCATAATGAAGATAATCCATTATGGACAATGTGGGTTTTTTTAAGGCTCATATGTACCATGATATCTGTCTTTTTGTTCTTCCTCTCACTTCTCTCTCTCTCTCCCTCTCTCTCCCTCTCCCTCTCCCTCTCTCTCAGCACTTATCTGTTTCTTTGAGCTATCTGTCTCCTGGCATCCTTGGTACAGCTCCATCTGGCTCATTTGCTATTCATGAATTAACATGTGTTTTGCATACATTCGTTTTATAACAACTGTTCCCAAGTACACCGTAGAGTAGCAACAAGGGTTCCCATGTTGGGTGATGCATAC